AGGGAGCCAGCTGTTCTGGGAAAACCAGGAAATGTCGGTGTGTTGACTGGACTTTTTTTTTTTGAGATGGTTCAGTTTCTCCAGAGAAGATTCCTTTGATTCTGCTCCCACCTTCCACCCTGGGAAGGGGTATACTTGATCAGTAGAATTCTAGGGGCACAGGGGAGAGGGCTGGAGGACCCCACCTTCCTTATGCAGGTTTCACATAAGTTTTCTGTTTTCATCCTTGTCTCTTCCCCCCCTTCTAAGCCCTGTTTAATATCTGAGGATTATTATCCTTTTTCCTCTGCTCATGGGTGGGTGAGATCTGCTAGGGCCCACCCCGGGCCCACCCTGCGTACAGTCCTCAGTCAGCGTCTCCTGTCATATCCTGTGCCTCCGTGGCCCCCGTCCTGGTCCCTCTAGTCCCGAGCCACACGGGGCGTCTTTCAGGTACATCAATTTGCTGCTTTTCTGTCGAAAGCACTTTCAGGTTGTACTCCCCTTTGCTTCCTTTGCGCCCCAGAGTCCGTTCTCGGTCTGGTCCACCTCAGTCTCCTCGCGTTTCTTGGACTCCCTTGTCATCTTGGTCTCTGTTCTTCGTCTCTGTGGTGCAGCCCATTGTGTGAAGTTCTTTGCTGCCATTCTAGCTGGCTGTCTGGAGGGGAAGGGGGACTTGTAGGTGCATCTCCGTTCAGCGGGGCGTCGGGGAAGATGGGCTTTAACCCGAGCGCCCCGCAGTGGGTTGGAGGGCCTGGGGAAGGCTGGTGGAGGAGGGTCTGGAGAGCGCTAGGCTGCCTGGCAGTCTGTCCCGGCGTAGCGGGGAGGTCGGGGCACACTGCACTGGCTCCTGCTCTGCAGGTAATGAGGACACATTGGAGTTGTTGGCCAGGGCACGACAGGCCAGAGTTGTGCTTAGCGGGGTAAATCGGCCATTCCGACTGGAAGCAAGCAGGAGACGGCTAAAACGTGGGCCCAGTGAGCGGCAGCAGCCTCCTCAGGACCTCAGCCAGAAAGGGCTCCGACAGCCTCCGTCCCTTTGTCTCCTCCCCGCTCCCTTCCGGCCCTGAGCACGGAGCTGGACCCAGGAGGCTTTGCCACCCTGGCAGCTCCCTTTCCTGCCCCATGCTCAGGGGGGCTCCTGGCCCGTCCTTTGGGGAAGCCCGCACCCTGTCCTGAGCCTGCCTTCCCCACCCCCAAACCTGCCCAGGCTCAGCCTTGACTGGCTCCCTACCCCGCGGGTGCGGTTTCGGTCAGAAGGGGGGCCTGGCTGGCGGGGGCATGTGTGGGAACGTGACCCTGGGGAGGGCAGGGGGCCTGGCTGGCGGGGGCATGTGTGGGAACGTGACCCTGGGGAGGGCAGATGGCATCTTTGGGGCTCTTCTCACTGGCCCCCGCCTTCTTTCAGTTGGGGGTGATATTCCGCCAGCCACCATCCAGGTGAGGGCCACCCTAGGCCTCCAGTTTTACAAATTGGGGAGACTGAGGCACGGAGGACGTAGGGGCCTGGCTTTGAGGTCCCTGGCCAGGGCAGGCCTCTTCTGTGGTGGTTCTTGTTGTATACCCAGGAGGTGAGTCATGGTGGTCGGTGAAAGGTTACCTCAGGCACTATTCTCATCACGCTACCTATATGCTGTATCCTTGCCACACCCCGGCGTAGGTGGAGTTGGCAGCCGCACTCCGCCAAGGGGACACAGGCGCAGAGAGGTGCAGTGGCTTGCCAGGGTCGCCAAGTTCATAGTGGCAGAGCCAGCCAGGATTCAGACGCGGGCAGTCTGGCTCCAGGGTGTGAGCTCAGAACCATTACACTGTTCACCTCACCTGGGGTGCCCCCCAGGCAGGGTCCTGGTGTTCCCCCGCTCCTGCTAGAGAGGCTCTGGATTCCTGAAGAAGGGGCCCCAGCCCCCGAGGAACGGCGGGGCGAGGCAGCACGGAGAGAGCAGACTAAACTGTGCCGTAGCATCCATCTGGGCAGTGGGCTTCTTGGGTTTTCTTGAGCCCAGACCCCCTTCCAGAAAATGAGGAGGGTTGTCCTCACCGCCCATGCTCGGGGCCCATGTTCTCTCCTTCCTTCTGACTGTGGGGAGGTTGGGGTGGGATGGATGGGAAGAGAAGGTTGGGAAGGGGGGGGGGGCAAGGAAACATGATGAGGCAGCTTCCACGCTTGGCCTCTGCTCCGGCCGGGGCTGTGCTGTACCGACCCAGCGCGGCCGTGGTCTTCCAGCCTCATTCCGAGTGGGAGAATCCAGAGTGGATCTCAGAGTCCTGGGACAGCAGCCGCTGTGCAGGGGAGCGTGGTGGTCAGGCAGGCTGCCCCCACCCTGGAGTCGGGGAGCACAGGGCGGGCAGCTCTGGGCCCCAGCCAGCCTCAGTTCGGAGCTGTGTCCTGAGCAAACCTCAGCTTCTCTGGGCCTGTTTCTCCATCTGAAAAACGAGCAGTTTGTTTTGAGGTCTGCAGTGGTCTGTGTCTCTGAGGGCCTGTGGGGGGCCTGTGTGCACCTGCCTCCGGCTTTGGGCCTGAGCCAGGCCCTCTGAAGGCCACGGCCTTGGGCAGCGTGAGGACAGGTGAAGTCAGAGAGGGGGCATGTCGGTGGCCACCATGCCTTGGTGAGCATCTCGTCTCTCCTGTGCCAGGGACGTACAGGTCTGTGATGTGGGAAAATGCTCCTCTTTGTGAACCAAGAGGCTTGGTCAACCATGGGGTCCTCACAGGCAGGTTGGCGTCTGCACACATCTGGATCCTCATCTGGGCGCTGGCCTGGCCCCTCCCTCCCTGGTCATCAGCTGGTGTGAGACTGGCCACACAAAGTACCGAAGGCAGTGTGACAGGCCACGTCTTCCGAAGCCTTTCTTCTGCCCGGCGTTTTCCAGTCCTGGCCTCAGCCTTGTGCGGGCATGCTGGGGAGCTGGTCAGAGCACCCTTGGAGTGAGAGGAGGCCTTTGATGTCCCCAGCCCAGCCTCCCACTGAAATTACTGCTCTTATTGATGGGATGGCAGCAGTAACTCGTAGACTCATGGGCTGCCAGGACTAATCGTTCCCAGCTGAAGTGGCATCTGGGTGCAGGAGGGGGTGAATTGTGAGGCTGTGCTCTGCTGGATTCATACGGTGGGGTCTGGAGCAGGACTGAGGAGCTGAGACACACACCCCCCTCCCCCAGAACATGTGAGGCCAGCAGAGGCCCCAGAGTGTGTGTGGGGGGTGCGGTGTCTTGGTTCCTGATGGCCATGAACATGAGTCTGCAGATTGAAAATGCTGGGCAGAGCTGAGCGGGGGCCACGAAGGGAGGAGAGTACCCCAGACTGTCTGGTCATCTCAGCCTGCTGTTCCCTTTTGGGCCCTGACATTTCTCCCAGGCACATACCAGCACATGACAATGAATCTGAGCCCCTCCAGCCCCCACACCCGGGCTACGGCTGTCCTGGCTCATCTGTCAGTCACCCGATCCCCCACACCTGTTCCAGGCATGGCCTGTGAGCTGCCCACCCGCACCACAGCTATGAATAGGGTGGAGGATGGGGAACACGGGGGCATTCCGAGGGCAGGAGGGCAAGTGGTGGGGGGCACCTCTCAGGGAAATATGGGGGCAGCTCTCGTCTCAGGCTCAGAAAGTAGAGAAGCAAGCTTGTTTGGGGGAGGTGCTTAGAGTGGGGGGACCGAGGGGTGGGAAGAAGGGGGGTGGGGTTACTATTAGAAGGATGGGGCACCGAGGATGAGATGAGGCACTCGGGGCGCATCGTCTGCATCCTTGGCCGGCATCTCCTGGGACTGTGCAGCGGCACCACGGGGCAGGTTCTGGGGCGGACTTTGGATTGTCACTTGTGGGAGATCTGTTTTCCCCAGCACCCTTCTCTCCGTCCTCCCCTGAACAGCCAGCTCACGTATTCTCACTCCCCCACAAGTTGTAAGTTCCTTGAGAGCACAGACAGTGTTTTTGCCTCTTTTGGCTCCCACCGCCCTCGCCATGCTGGGCTGGGGCAGGATAAATGGGTGACTGATGGGAAGTGCCAGGTGAGTGGGAGGTGGTGGCAGAAGACCCTCCTGAGTCTTTGAAATGGGGGCAGAGCTGGGGCTCAGGGGACTCCCCCAGCAGGAGATTGTGGGTCCCTCCGTGGGGCCAAGGGACCTCTCTCTTCTCACCCGGCGCCACCTAGAGGTGAGAGGTGGAACAGCCACCTGTGACCTTTTACTGAAGGCCTATCTTGTACAGGCACTGCCCAAGCTCCAGGGAGATCTTAGTTCTTACCTCCAGGGTGCTGGGAAGGGGCAAGGCCAACTGAACAAATCTTGCCAACACGGGGCAATGAAGGGCACGTCCAGATCACTCTGGGGGTGCTGGGCAGCTGCTGCCTTTTAATAGTAGGAAGAGCCGAGGAGGGTAGGACCAGTCCTGCCAAAGCCTGGTGCACAGTGTTCATTTAGGTGGCACACGGATAAACATTTTTAAAAATAGTTACGTAATTATTTTCAGACATATTAGAGAAATGGAATGCCTGATTTCATGAATATATGGCTAAGAGTGGAGTTGAGGAATAAGAGTGAGTTGCTCTGAAGTCATTAGGGCCATAGCAGGGCATGTGGTGGGGGCTGCGTGAGGGTAGCACTCATCACGGGCAGGCCAGTGGTGGCTGGAGTCTGGGAAGCATCAATCTGTATCTTGGCCTGGCCCCGTGGATGCCCCCTTGACCCCTCTGTTCCCCCATGTTCGGTGCTGCCTTTCCCCGGCAGCCGAGCTTCCCGACGGTTCTTTCTCAGACGGGGCCCACGTTTCTGCTGTGTAACTCAGTGCAGGTGTCAGTTTCTCTTTTTCCACCGTGCAGGCCGCACAACCCAGTTTTAACCAGGCTTGAAGGTGGGGAGAGGTGGACGCTTTCCAGGCTCCTACTGTCCAGGTTCTGTTGAGCCTGCTGATTGCTTCTTGGCCCTAGAACCTGGACTGGGCCCCAGAGGTCTCGTCGACTCCGCCCCGACCGCGTGCCTGCTGCCTCACCTGTCCGTCTCGGCTTTCCCGTGTCTCTCCAGGCAGACCTCAACACCAACATGGAGGACGAAGGCAGCTCCTTCTACGGGGTGTCCAGCCAATACGAGAGTCCTGAGAACATGATAATCACCTGCTCCACCAAGGTCTGCTCGTTCGGCAAGCAGGTGGTGGAGAAAGTGGAGGTAGGAGCACCTGTGCACTCGTCAAACCAGGCCTTCCACTGTTTCAGGCCGGTCTTCACTCATGCCCTCCTCTTTCCCCAAATTTCTCTGATCTAATGAAGTTGTACCTCACGGTCTCTTAGTTCCTGATAACCCACCTCGTGTTAAACACAACCACATGCCGGGCTGGTACCAGGGAGGAGACACCCCCTTCCCAGTGTTCTCCCCCTGGCTGCACCTTAGATCACTGGAGCTTTTGAAGCACACCAACACGTGAACCCCACTTCACAGCACTCACCCCAGAATCTCTAGGGTGGAATCTGGGCAAGCTCCTCCTCCCATACTCTTCAAGTTATTTGTTTATTTATTTTTACTTAATCTTTTAAATCCTCATCCGAGGAAATTTGTCAATTTATCTTCAGATAGAGTGGGAGGGGGAGAGAGAGAGAAACATCGATGTGAGAGAGACCCATGGACTGGCTGCCTCCCACACGATCCCAACAAGGACCGGGGATGAACTGCAACCGAGGTACAAGCCCTTGACCAGAATTGAATCCGCGGCTCTTTGGTCCGCCAGCCAACGCTCTGACCGCTGAGCCAAACTAGCCAGAGCCAAGTTATTTATTTTAAATTAAATGTTTGTTTTGAAATAATTGTGTATCCACATGCAACTGTAGTCCCATGTACCCTTCACTCAGTTTCCCCAAGGGCGATATTTGGCAACCAGGCAAATTAACGTTGATGCCTCTCGCCGATCTGACTCAGATGTCATCAGTTTGTATCCTCAGTGGTGTGTGTGTAGACAAACACGTCGTTCCATGACCGCAGGGTTCTGTGCACCTTCCCCCGTTACTTTAGTTGCAGCTGGGGTTGAGTTGTCGTCTTCCCCGTCTTGCCTGTTGCCACTATGTCTTGAACTGCTTGCTCCTCCCATGCTCACCTCCGAGCATCTGGGCTCGAGAAGGGTAGCGTCCCCTCTGCTGCCACTCGAGCCCCTGTCACTGAGGGAGGAGGGGCTCTGTTCTCAAGGGCCTCCAGGCCTTCCGCCTCTTCTGCCCACTTAAGAGTCAGTGGGTGATGGAGCTTCCCCATGCAGTTGGGCCTGGGCAGTTGTGGTCAGAAGAGTCTAAGCCCTGCTGTCCCCTGGGTCCTGCAGACAGAGTATGCCCGCTATGAAAACGGCCACTACTCCTACCGCATCCACCGGTCCCCGCTCTGTGAGTACATGATCAACTTCATCCACAAGCTGAAGCACCTGCCCGAGAAGTACATGATGAACAGCGTGCTGGAGAACTTCACCATCCTGCAGGTGTGGGGGGAGGGGCTGGGGACGCCACGGGGGAGGGGCAGAGGGGCGAGCAGATGGCATGTCCTCTTCTGGGGCCTTAACCTTCATCTTTTCTCTCCCCCGCAGGTGGTCACCAACAGAGACACGCAGGAGACCTTGCTGTGCATTGCGTATGTCTTTGAGGTGTCAGCCAGCGAGCACGGGGCTCAACACCACATCTACCGGCTGGTGAAAGAATAAGAGACCTGGGGAGCAGGGAGGGGGGAGGAGACGTTGTGTGTGTCGGGACAGGGGCGGGACGTGCAGCGGCAGCCCCCCCGAAGTGCCAAGAAAGCTGACTCTTCCCGCCCAGGAACAAACGGGGCTTGCACCTCAGTGCCCAACCCCAAATAAACCCGAGATGTGTATTTTCAGAGGACCCCATCTGACTGTAGGAGTCCTGGGAGGGACTGTGGGAGAAGGGGGGCAGTTTGGGAAGCGGGCCGGAAGCAGCCTCAGAGATGCATCTTGGGCCGTCTGAAGCCGGTGCCCCAATGGACCAGCCGGGAATGTCACCAGACGCTGAAGCTCAAGATGGGATGGTCCCTTTGCCGCATCGAGCGCCTGCACTCTGCTGCTGGCCACCTCGGGAGGCTTGAGGACAGGCGCCCCGGCTCCCCGTCCTGTGCGTGCTCAGGTGTGCGCCAAGGCTACCTGTGCGGGACGCAGCTGCACCCGGCCACCTCTGCTGTCTGTCGCTGCTGCAGGGCAGCTAAGGAGGCCGGTCCAGCCCAGGGGTGGGCTTCAGGTGTGAGGTGACTGAGCTGTTAGAAGGGTTGGAAGGGGACACAGAGCTGTTTGGTTTTACTGTCTCTGGTGGTTGTGGGTTCAGCTGGCCTGTAGGGGGGATGGGCTCCAGATCAGAGGAGCCTGAGACAGGGCAGGAGGGGCAGCGCTGAAGCCAGGCTGAGGAGTTGGGGTGCTGAGGCTGGAGTCCTGCAGCATCCTTTGGGTGGCAAAGGCCAAGAAAGTTGGTCAGAGGTCTGGTGGACCAGTGGTCTCTGAGACCGGTTCTGACGTTCTGTAAGTCTTGCCTCCCTCCCAGCCATGCCTGCCAGGTGGTGACCACCTCGGAGCCAGCCCAGGCCACACTCTCCCTCTCCAAACGGCAGTTTCTGTGCTCCCTGGGGACGGATGGGAGGAGCGTGGAACCCACTCTGGGCCTAGAGGCAACCAACTGAGGGGTTCCCTGTTTATTATTGCCCCTGCGAGCTGGCAGGGGCTGTGGGTATTCCTAGCTGCCTGACTTGGGGCAAATGTCTTCACCTTCCTGAGCCTGTAAAGGGGGCAGGCAATAGCACCCACCTTAGAAGGCCTTAGCAAGGAGGAGAGAGATGTCTACCAAGTGCCTAATGCCAGATGCACTGAACAAATGTTAAGATAATTCACGTCCTCAGGGAGGCCTGGCCTGGCTTTTTGCTGCCATCTAGTGGCTCTTTGGTATCATCCCCAAAGGCAATCTCACAATCCCGGGAGCCTGGGATTCAACCCACCTACTACACCAATGAGGAGGACAGCATCCAGGAGCAGGTACAGAGCGGTGGTTAGGAGCAAGGGCTCTGGTGACAGACTGCTAGGATTGCAAACCTGGTGCTCAGCTACTGCCTAGCAGTGTGACCTCTGGGCAAGTGACTTAATTTCACCATGCCTCAGTTTCCCCATCTGTAAAATGGGTATAACAGTACCTACCTCGTATATGTAGAGAGTCTAGCATAGTGTCGAGCACGTCAATGTGTTCGATAAATATGCTTTATCATCAATAGTAGGAGCTTGCAGTCTAAGGAGTCAGACTGCAAACTGATCTGCTCCTCAGAGCAACTGGACTTTGGAGACCGGAGAGAGTAGGGCATGGACGATTCAGGGAAGGGGCCCCAATTGAGAGGGGCTGCTCCCTTAAAGGATGGACAGTGTTGAGATACACAGACAGGAAGAAGGCTGGCCAGCGTGGGGACAAGAAGCCAGCTGCCCAGTCTCCCTCTGTCCTCCACAGGCCTGCACCCCTCTCTTGATGAAAAAGCCACTTGAACAGGTGCCTGAATTACTGCTAGACCTTAGGCCAAATTTGGTAACACTATTGTCCATGGAGCCGAGGTGGGGTGTGGGGGTCCCCGGCTCGGGCTGGCATGTGCTCACATGTCTGTGTTTGTGTAAGGCTGCCCACCCCTCCCCCAGTCACGGCACAGCCCTTGCTCCCTCCCCTCCCCCTTCCCTTCTCCTGGGCTGTTTGGATAAGGGAGCTCAGACTCCTACCCTGCTGGCTGACTGTGAACCTCCAGACAAAGTCTCACGAAGGTGTGTGAGCCGTGTGTGAGCCGCCTCTCCAGGGACACATGCACAAGTTTGGAGACGGGGATGACTTTTCTGTGTTGTGGGTGGGAAGGAGTCTGCAGACATTGTTGGGGCCAAGTGTTGGCTGTGAGTTTTCCCTTTTCTTTAGGAACTGACCTCAGTAGCCTAATGGAGAGACACCTGCTTTTAGCTGTAAATTCCAAACCAGTCCACTGTGGGGAGCGGGAGGAGCGGTAGACACCTGGCCCACCCTGGCAGGGCAGATGGAGGCCTGACCTGGCCCCACCTCCTCACCTCATCCCACACTCCCTGTCTCGACCACTCACCTCCGGCCCATCCTCCCTGCTTCCGGGCGGGGGCACCACATGTCCCCTGCCTCTGCCCTCGGAGAACTCTTGCTCTTTCTTCAAGAGCCAGTGTGGAGGCACCGCTTCTGCAGAAGGGTTGGCCCCTCCCGCTCCTGTGGCGAAGGCATTCCATTCCTGACCCACACCTGGTCGGAGGGGCCAGAAAACAGGCACCTCTGTCATCTCTACAGTCCTCACCCACAGGTACTGTGCTATCCCCGCTTCAGAGGTGAGCACGGGCACAGAGGGGGCCTGACCTTGGAGTAGTCATACATTTATTCATTCGCTTAGCACATATTTATTTCACTTCTGCTTTGTGCCAGGCCCTGGGAGTGTGTCCGTGACCAAGACAGGTCCCTGGGGAGCTTACGTTTTACTGAGGAAGACAAAGTGAGCCAGGAAGCAAGATGTAAACTGTAGAACATGCTGTCGAAGGGGAGTGCGCTGACGTTGGGGGTCCCTGGGGGCCTCCCTGAGGCCTGGGAGGGTGAGGGCAGGAAGGTGACTGGTGTATTCCAGGTTCAGGAGGAGGGTGTGTCAGGAACACGTGGGGGAGGGTGGGGGCAGGCAGGGGCAGCATCCTGCCCAGCCAGCCGTCCAGCTCCCTCCTCTGCAGGCCAGCAGCCCTTCACTGGTGAGGACTTGGACTTGACTCCAAGGGGGCCCTGGAAGTGTTTTCAGTCGGGGAGGAAGTCTTTTTGATCTGGCGTTTAGAAGGCAGCCCTGGAGCTGCCTGCACTGCCGAGAAGCGCGTGTAATTGTCTGCCTCTGACTCCTAGACTCAGCTCCTGCGGGTGGAGACCGGGCTGCTCCCGGTCCCTTACTCTCTAGACCAAGCACCACACTGGGAGCCTGGCAGGCGCTTGAATGGCTGCCCATGTACAGGGCGGCGGGATCCATGCCATTTGGGCCGGGAGGTGAGCAGGGTTCCTCAGCCCTCTGGGACAGAGCTCCTGCCCTCCTGACACCTAGAGCTAACAGGCACCGTCATCGAGATGGGACACAGAATCACTGCCTGTCTTCTGGGGTGGGATGATGACCGGGCAGCCTTGTCCCTGGGGCCACCAATGAGCTTCCATTGAGTAGGAGGATCTAATGAGAGACACATGCGGAAGGAGCTTGAGTGCATGTGCACAAGTGTGTCGTGTGCGTGCGTGCGTGTGGGTGTGCGTAGACATAGGCTCTGCCCTTTCAGGACTGAGGCCAGGGAGTGAGGAGCAAGGGGCTGCCATGAGTGGCCTGACCCAGGCCTCCCGCTTACTGTGCTCAGGGTGTCACCTGCTCCCTTCCCATGACTGTAGGGTCAGAAGATGGGACTCGAGTAGGAGGGTTGACACCCCTGTAAGCAGGGGTGATGGCAGCTGGCAGAGCTGGGCCTGGTGTGGGCTCAGGGGGCCACCGGTGCTCACCTGGGCCACACCTGCGTAGAGAGGGATGTGAGGTCACGCAGTTCAGTGTCTGGTTCTACCCAGTGGTCATGGTGACTGACCCCTCCCTCCTTACATTTTCTGTTACGTCAGCTCCGGGAGTGAAAACCAGAAGCTGTTCCCCAAAGAGTTAAATCTATACAGATTGTTTTTAAGACCTTAAGCCCTGGAGCCAGGCTGATCTGGGGCTGAATTGACTTTTTACCAGTATGTGATCTTGGGCAAGTGACTAACCTTGGAGCCTTCATAACCCCATTTGCGGGATGGGAATCAAATGGCTTTGACTTGAGGAGAGCAGCGCCCCCCCAAGTTCTGGGAGCGTTCAGAGGCAGGGCGGCGGTTTTCAGCCTTTTCCATCGCGGGGCACACCTACCCTAATGACTAAGATTCGGCGGCAAGCCCAAAATAGTATATAAAACAAAAAAAGTGTAGGTATGATTTTTATTCCTTTATACCAGACAGCTATTGTGTTGGCTGTTGTCATTTTTTTTCTTTCTTTCTAATTTTTGTGTTCCCTTGATTTTAGAGACGAAGGGAGAGGGAGAGAGAAAGAGATAGAAACAGATGAGAGAGAACACTGACTGGCCGCCTCCTGCCTGCCCCCCGCTGGGGATCGGGCCCACAACCTGGGCATGTGCCCTGACCGGGAATCGAACTGGCGACCTCTTGGTGCATGGGTCGACGCTCAACCAGTGAGCCACACTGGCTGGCGGCTGTTGTCATTTTTTTTTTTATTTGACAATCTAAGGGGAAGAGGTCCGTGTCACTGAGTAAATAGGAGGGAATTGCATGTTTTAAAAATTCTGCGGCTCACCGCTTGAAAGGCATCGGGATATAAAACTTCCCCTAACTGCTCTTCACACACACACACACACACACACACTTATTTTTTAGAGAACAAACAAGCTCTACTCAAAGCGGGCGGGGAGGAGGCAGGGCCTGAGCCGGGCAGGGTCTCCAAGGGAGGACAGAACCAGTGGGCTCGGTGGCTGGAGCAGGAAGCTGTCTGGAATCCGCTTTTTGTTTACTTCCTGAGAGGGTGGGGCGAGGTGCTCCAGGGCCCTGCCAGGCAGGCGTCCAGCTGGAGGAGATGGCGAAGGGTCTTTTTAAGCTCACGGATGTCTGATATTCAACTAAGTTTTTGTGTTTGGGCTATGAACACCCCCTTGGTGTCTCCACATCTTCAGTAAAGTCTGCCATGAACACAAAGGTTTTTGTCGGCTGGTTTCTTTGTACAGAAATGAAAGTCTCATCTGTCCGTGAGCAGCAGCGCCCATGGCGACACCGTGAAGGCGCCAGGCTGGCGGAGCA